TGGCACATAGCTCCTGACTTCGGTACTTTACAGCTTCAGCCACCGGAGATGCCTGTTTATGTCCTGGAAACACAGGGAAGGCGTTCAGGCTTCTCAGCTATCATGAGGGCAGGGGGTCATGTGAGAATGTGGCAACCTTGTAGGGGTCATAGAGTGAACTCTGGGGGGAGGGATCCTTAAAAGAAGGGGAGGTGCTGTTCCCAGAAAAAGAGGATGGTACCCACAGATTCCCAGAATAGGTGTCTGCTGGTGTGGTTCTTTTGCATTCTTGAGGATTGACTCCGAGTCTGAGTGCCTATTTTAAATCACTTGGCAGATTTAACTGTAATCTTAGATTTTTTTTTTTTCTTCCAGCTTCTTGTCAGCTACAAGCTTTAATTATAATTATTCTTCAGCAGACATGTTCTAGTGCTTCTTACTCATTTGTCAAATTGAGCCTAACGGAATTAAAAAGTCCGGTGAGACACCTTGTCCTTAAGACAACAGAAGACTGAACTGTCGATTCTCCATGGTTTTTTTGTCATCCACAGTCGTTGGTCCCAGGATTATGTTCAGCTACTCTTACAATCTCTGTGTAGCCAGAAGCAGTAAGGCTGCTCTTCAGTGAATATTTGGAAACTTTTCACAGGTGAAGGAGTAAATCTTTTTTTACATTTCCATCTTGGTGAAGTCCGTCTCATCCCCTGGAAAAGAAAACTGGTCATCGGGCATTGATTTCCACACTTGTGTTTCACATTTGCATTCGTTTTCAGCTGATAACTACCTGGGTATATTCTGAATATGTTAAAAATAAAGTTCTTTGTAGTCTTTTCTATGCTTTGCAGAATACCATTTCCCCATGCTATCACTATGTTGTTTCCAACCCTGTCTTTTGCCAGAATTTAGGATTAGATGAGTAGAATCTGCAGTCCAGTTAGGCCTCCAAATGACTGTGGTTTGTATGGAAACAGTTGAAGGTCTCTCAAAACTGCCCCTGCAGGCTGGGGAGAGAAAGTATTAAAATGAGTTTGTCTGAAAAGCCAAATCGTCATCCCCCAAATTAAACCCAGAGAGGACAAATGATCCAGAGTTTACTGGCAGTCGGGATGCTACTCTTTTGCCTTTTGAGAGGAGGGATAATTTCGGGCACAGGTATGTCTGTTTGCTTGGTTTGCCTGAGTTCCCCAGATAACTGTCCTTCTTGTCCACTGAGCTCTTTGTGCACAACCATGGATCATGGAAGAGTGTTTGGGAACAATCTGATCTTTGCTCAGACTTGAGTGTGAGTCACTAATAAAAAGCCCGTTAAAAATGGGTGAAATCATAAATAGTCTTAAAGTTGGAAGTCCCAATTTCTCATCCAATTCAGGAATCCCTCCTAGAGCACTGCTCACGGTTGGTCACAGCTTCAGCTTTTCTGAGGGAAGAGCTTCCCTTCCGTGTTCCTTAACCTTCTCTGATCCATTTCTAATAACCTAGTGGTACAAGAAATGCCTCTTTGTATAGAAATGACATGTGACCCTGCCTCTTCAATCTCTATTATCTCTTCACGTAAATTGAGTCTACTTCTTCTGTAATTAAAGCAACTTTTCAAATTTTGAGAATGTTATCATGTTACCCCCAAAGTCCTCTTCCCCTGGTTGAGCAGGTTAAAATCATGAAGACTTTAAGCAGATAACGTCTGTGTTTAAAGGCATTCTGAGGGGAGGGGTTGATTGCCTTTCAACACTGAACCTTCACCACTGTCCTTGGGTTTTGTCTGACTTCTGTGGCAATTTTGTTTTTAGTATCATTTGTATACATTGAGAATTGGCTACCGTATTTCTGTATCTTCCTTTAGCCTTTCCTCCCTGGACTGGATATTCATAGTTCAGAGCTTGGAAATCTAAGAAACACAAAACTGGATCATACCATCAGGTTATGCAGTCTTGTGAAGGGTATTGTTGCCTTCTGTGACGTCACCTCAGAAGTTAGTAAACACACCCTACATTCCTAACTGCTTTAATAATCTCTCAACCCTTCATTTGTGAATTTATTTAAACCCATGAACTTTTTTTGTTTTCTTTTTAGGTTTAAATTGTACATTTTGAGTCCTTTAGCTTTTCCTCATATGCATTCTATTATTAGTATCTTATTATCATTCTATAGGTCCCTGGGTGGCGCAAATGGTTTGCGCTTGTCCACTAACCTAAAGGTTGATGCTTCGAACCCACCCAGTGACTCTGTGGAAGAAAGCTCTGGCGATCTGCTTCTGTAAAGATTACAGCCAGGAGAACCCTATGGAGCAGTTCTACTCTGTAACACACAGGGTTGCCATGAGTTGGAATCGACTCAATGGCAACAGGTTTGGTTTTTTTTAATGATTGTTCTTAGGAGTCCTGGGGTGCTGCAAACAGTTAACATGTTTGGCTGCTAACCAAAAAGTTGCAGGTTTGAGTCCACCCAGAGGCAACTTGGAAGAAATGCCTGGTGATCTACTTCCGAAAAATCAGCTATTGACAACCCTATGGAGCACAGTTCTACTCTGACATGCATGGTTCTCTATGAGTTGGAGCTCACTCAGGGGCAACAGATTTTTTTTTTTTTTTCAATCATTCTTAAGTTGATGTTTCAACCAAAAAACAAACAAAGAGAAAAACTAACAAAAAATACTTCTCTCCAAATGTTCCTACAGCCTTAAATGGGGAAATTTAAAACTTCTAAACCCAGAAGTTGATTAGTGCTGACTGGGACGAATTGCACCATGGCTTCCACTTGGTAGGGAAAGAATACTGAAGTAGAGCACATATTCTGGTTCCAAAATATCAATAGTGTGTGCCCTTTGGAGTCCCTCGGTGGTGCAAACAGTTAACGCACTTGGCTGCTAACCAAAAGACTGGAGGTTTGAGTCTACTCAGAGGCACCTCAGAGGAAAGACCTGGCAGCTACTGAACATTCCATGGAGCACAGTTCTACAGTGATACACATAGGGTCACCATGAGTCAGAGTTGGTTGGACAGCAGCTAGTTTGATTGATGGGCAAGTCACCAAGCCACTCTGAGCATTTTCATCAAGTATAAAATTGGATGAATTCTGTCTGTTCTGCCAGATTTTGGGGAACGTTTTGAAAACAAGATGTTTACTATAAAGACATTACAGTAAAGTATACCATGATATACTCTGGGAGTATTTTGAGGGTTAATAACAAATTTAATAAGATAAGAGATTATTTCTGTATTCTGTATTGCTTGTAAAATATTGGTGGTCTTGGATAGTTAAGATTCACATCCATCCACAGTTTCAGAATCACAGTAGCTGGCCTTCATATGAATGAATAGTAAATATGTACCTTGCATATTAGAGGGAAGAAAAATCTCATAATTTCTAACATGGGTTCTGAGTGGTATTTGATGTGAATTCACACTTATGGGAGAAGGAATTTCAGTAGAGAAGTGGCATTGTTTATGGAGAAATGAAATTATTCTGGGTTCCTTTGGTAGAGGCTTGGGTTAGGAGAATAAAAGGGTTGAAAGTGAGAGAGAAACTTTTGTAAATGATTTAAATTCCAACTGCTAAAAAATGTTGGTAAAGACACACAAACCAGAGACTTCATCAGCCTGAGACCAGAAGAACTAGATGGTGCCCAGCTACCACCAATGACTGCCCTGACAGGGAACACAACAGAGAGCCCCTGACGGAGCAGGAGAAAAGTGGGGTGTGGAACTCAAATTCTAGTAAAAAGACCAGACTTGATGGTTTGATTGAAACTGGAAGGACCCTAGAAGACGTGGCCCCTGGACTTTCTGTTAGCCAAAAACTAAAACCATTCTCGAGGCCAACTCTTCAAAGATTAGATTGGACTATGGACATAAAATGAAACTTGTGAAGAGTGTGCTTCTTAGCTCAAGTAGATACATGAGACTAAATGGGCAGCTCCTGTCCAGAGGTGAGATGAGAAGGCAGAGAGGGTCAAGAGCTGGTTGAATGGACATGGGAAATCCAGGGTGGAAAGGAGGAGTGTGCTGTCACAGTATAAGGAGAGCAACTAGGGTCACATAACAATGTATGTATAAATTTTTGTATGAGAGACTAACTTGAATGGTGAACTTTCACTTAAAGCATAACAACAACAACAACAACAAAATGGTGGTAAAGAAATTTGCCTAGTAACTAAACCTGGAACCTTTAGCACTAACTATTGACATAGACTTTTGGGATCTGGGCCTAATAACTCAAGGGTGGATCCTGAGGTGCAGTTCTTTGGAAAAGTCATAGGTGCTTGTAGTTGGGCTGGCTTCTGTGTTAGCTTTCGGCTTCTAGCTCTGCCCTTATTTCCTGAGAGATGATGAGGGCTGTGAAGTCGGCAATTGTCTAACATCTGCATTCCCTGAGGACTTAAAGATGACCCCCTTCCTGAGTCTTGTGAGGTGTGTTTTTCTTATACACCTGTTTTTTTACTCAAGATCACTTGTATCTGAGGACATAGAAAGAGCCAAGGTAACATGTATGTCTTATAGCCATTCAGGGTCTGATGGCAGTTTCTTGGAGTCATTTCTTTTGCTTTATATAGTCTTACCAAAAGTACGAACACATCCAGACCTTGGAAAGAATACAGTTTTCATTTTCTTCCTTCCTTCCTCCCTTCTTCCCTCTCTCCCTTCCTTCCTTTCGCTCCTTCTGTACTCTCCTTCCTTCCTTTCTCTCCCCCCTCCTCCCTTCCTCTCCTTTCTTCCTTTGTGTCCCCCCTCCCTCCCTTCCATCCTTCCTTCTTCCTTCCTTCCCTTCCTTCCTCCTTCCTTCCTTCCTTCCTCCCCTCCCTCTCTTCCTCCCTTCCTCCCTCCCTCCTTTCCTTCCTTTCTTTTTTCTCCTCTCCCTTTCCCTCTTTCTTCTTTTTTCTGTGGTGACTCTCAAGTATTAATCACACCTGGTAATCAGATTACTGTGAAGAATTTCTTTGGGAGGGTAAAAAAGACAAGTGCAATAATCCTCACATGTCAGAAGACTGACGCCTCATCCTGTTGTGTGTGCTTTTCTGCTCCCAGGGAGTTCTGTCCAACATCTCTTCTATCACTGATCTCGGCGGCTTTGACCCGGTCTGGCTCTTCCTTGTGGTGGGAGGAGTGATGTTCATTTTGGGATTCGCAGGGTGCATTGGAGCTCTCCGGGAAAACACCTTCCTCCTCAAGTTTGTAAGTATCAGACTTTATGCTCTCAGCTTGAGAGCCAAGCTCTTATCTTACATCCAGAGGATGCTGTATCTACAGGCAAGACAGGGAGCTGAACCAAAGGCAAGAATATGGCAAAGGTAATGCTTTTCTGTTAGACAGTTCACTTGCCCCTCCTCTTCACCCCAAATACTTCTTTGATAATATAAATACCACCCCCATGCCTTCCATGGAGGTTTTTATACATGTATATCATGCATTCTGATCCCTAAAATACGTTTAGGACTAAGGGAAATATATATGTTTTTCTTAAGTAGTTTTCCCTCCTTTTTTACACACGTGGAGTCCTTGGGTGGTGCAGATGGTTAATGCACTCGGCTGTTAACTGAAAGGTTGGTGGTTCGACTCCAGCCAGAGGTGCCTCAAAAGAAAGGCCTGGCGATCCACTTCTCTCAAAAAATCAGCCATTGAAAACCCTGTGGAGCACAGTTCTACTCTGATAACACGTGGGATCACCATGAGTTGGAATCTGGTTTAGTTTTTTTTTTTTTTTGGCTTGGTTTTAAGCACAGAGTAATCAGAGAGCTGGTCAGGTAACTGCTTTCTCTGGTCAGGCCTAAGCACAGTGGCTGTGAGCTGTCCAGATTAAAATCTGTCAAGCAGCAGGTTTTAATAAATAGGGAAAAACAGTAGAAGGTAAATTTCCTTTGGACTCTGTCAGTATACGATGCTCATTTGTATGACCAGCATAATTTTTAGATCCCTTCAGAGTGTTAGGTGTGATCACTGTTAGCCTGGATATTTGTGGAGGAGAGATTTTAAGAAGAAGTATAAATATGTTCATTTAAAAACTTTTATAAATAACACACGTAGTTTTTTAAAAATAAAAAACAAAGAGGTTTCAGTAATTAAAAAACCAAAAAGGATTATAATATCCTCCCCCAGATCCATGTATAAGTATTAAAAGTGAAAGTACAGAATGCAAAGTAAAAGCCTTTCCTTTGGAGATTGTTCCAGAGGAGAACAGAATGGCGTTTGCTTACATATGTGCATCTTAAATAGGTTTGACGTGTTTGGCTGGGGTAGCCCAAGGTCAGCCAATGTGCCTGTCAGTACAGAGTGTGGTATTCTGGGGGCGTCAGCCCTGAGTAGAGCAGCCTCCACTCCCCGTGTCCAAGCACAGGGAAAAAGAGCAAAAGAACACACCATCCGGTGGTGAAGGAAGACCATAGGGTGTCTAGAGAACGATCTTAGTGTAAGATCGTCTGTTACTAGAATCATGCCTAGTCATTATTGTCACAACAGCGTCTAGGGACATTTTGATTTAAGACAGTAGGATGTAATAGAACTAGTCCCAACAGCCATGGCGTACGGGATTCTCATCCCCAGCATTTCTGCCTCATCTTCCTCTGGCATCTTCTCTTGAACATCCCTGAGAGAAGCCTCACTGTGCTCTACGCAAGGCATCCTATTCTGAATTTGGGCAGCGTCTGACTCAGAGAAGGTTTTGAAAGAGGCTGTTTAACCTGAAAGGTCATGTGACTCACGCTAACACGGAAAACTAAAGGATACTTGGTCTTGTGTACAATTTAATGAGTTCTCTGTTCTGTACAGATAGGCCATTGGTGAAAGTAGCCATATCTCCTAATTCCCCTCTTACACACACACGCACACGCACGCACACACACACACACACACCCCCACAACCAAATACTTCATCCTTTACCTAGTCAGAGGCCCATGGAGTCACCAGAAGAGCTCTGTTCCTACGCATGGCCTGCCAACTTGCCAGTCTTCTTGGCATGAGGTTCCCCTAAATGCTGAGCTCACCTCGCTGAGTCTTTCTGTAGCCTGACTGGGCCCCAGGTCATACTTACCAGTTGCCACTATTTTATTAGTTTTGAAAAGGCCTCCATGCCCTAACAGCGATCACAATAGAAGGTCCAGGAGAGAGTAGGAGAAAAATGTAGAAGAAATTCAAATTCACACACACACACACAAAAAGACCATACTTGCTGGTTTGACAGTCTGGAGAAACCCCAAGAGTGTAGTGTCTGGACACCCTTTTAACTCAGTACTGAAGTCACTCCTGAGGTTCACTCTTCAGCCAAAGGTTAGACAGGTCTATAGGAACAGTAATAACATGTGAGGAGTGTGCTTCATAGTTCAATTAATGCATAGGACACTAAAGGGCACACCAGCCCAAAAGCAAAGACGAGAAGGCAGGAAGCAACAGGAAAACTGAACGAATGGAAACAGGGAGCGCAGGACGGAGAAGGGGAGAGTGTTGACCCATCACAGGGTTGTCAACCAATGCCACAGAACAAGTTGTATATTAATTGTTTAACAAGAAACTAATTTGTTCTATAAACTTTCACCTAAAGCACACACATACACACACACACACAAAAAGGCCTCCATGCCCTAAAAGATGGGATCCTCTTTAATATGGTTTTCTTGAATGTAGTTTAGCTTATAGTGGGCAGGCCCTTTAGTACAGTTTATTAGTTTTGTAGTTGAAGATACCAGGATTAACTGAACAGGGAGAAATCTGCATATTTCTCTAAATTAGTACCTTAACTTATGAAGTCCCATGTTGTAAATAAAGAGGATTGTGTTATTTCTTGCCTTTTTTTAAGTCTTGGAGAATATGTAAAATGGCCTCTCTCTCCATGAAATGGATCAATAAAAACTGACCTAGAATATTCCTTGAGTAGGACATATGACACAAGTAAATGTCAGCGTGACCCCAAACATCCTTGATTCTCTGATGCCACGAGGCTAGCAGTGCTGAGGAAAAAGCCAAGAGCTAAGAAACTGTGAACTAGAAAAGGATTTTCCTTCTTGACTGACGCCCCAGGACAAGAGCTGTGAGTCAGTCTCTGTACCTTTGGAAATAGAGGAAATTCATTCACAGGGCTTGGGACGTGTAGATTTCTGCCAAATATGTGAAATGAATTGAATTTGGACTCAATTTTTGAGATATGCGTTATGTAAACATTATGAGAACATTTACCAGAGGACCTGGAAAATGGACTTATCTAACTTACGGAGGTGAGAATGAAAATCTAATTAAAATCTTAGAATGACTACGGCCTCCGTGTTTTGTGTGGATGTGCATGTGTGCCCCATGAGATTTATCATTTCTACAGTGTGGTAACTGTCATATACCCTTCCCTCTCAGTTACTAACCTAAAGGTTGGCGATTTGAACCTAACCAGAGGTGCTGAGGAAGAAAGGCCTGACAATCTGCTTCTGTAAAGATTACAACCAAGAAAACCCTGTGGAGCAGTTCTGTAACACATGGGGTTGCCATGGGTCGGAACTGACTCAATGGCAACGGGTTTGTTTTTTTTTTCTCCACCCCACACCTTCCTAGAACTGCCTTGACACCCTGGATAAACTGTCAGATATACTAACATCTAATACGAAGTGCCCCCCACATGCTTTCCCACCCCCACCTCCATCCCCCCATGACGTACAGATACATTCCACCCGCTGTGGGGCTTTGAAAGCAGGGGTATGATCTCACCCATCCTGGCATTTGCAAAGCCCATTTAGCACAGGGCCTGACGCACAGTGGGTCATTTGGTAGATGTTTACTGAGTGAACTGTTTTTTTGGTCTCCCTAATTTCAGTAAGTAACCGTGTGGTTTCCTTTGCACCCTGCCCCCAATTCATTTTCCTCTTGGCAGGCTGTGTGATGTCTGCTTGCTGAATATGAAAACAGCAGACCGCTTCAGCTCTCTGCCTCCTCAACTGCTCAGTCTCCCACAGCCCTCAGGAGCTCCGCTGAGCAGGAGTGGCCCAGTGACACCCTTTCTGTTGCGGTCACCACAAGAGCTTACCTGCAGTTTACCTCATTTCTCATAGTCTAGCAAAAAGAAAAAAGGAAAGTGGTGAGAATGCAGGGGTGGGAAGAATCATGGGGGTATTGATATGACTAAGTTGAGGCTCTTCTGAGTCTTCTAGATGGAATGGAAATATCTCCAGATTTAGTGGCAATTATCACATTGCCTTATGGTCTGTAGCCTTCCTTTCTATATTCTTGCGTTCTGCATTAGCCAGAAGTTTTCATTTGGCTGCTTTGGGATCTTATTTAAAGTGCTTCCTGAGACCAGTGCTTCATAAAGGAAGAATAGCACAGCTAGCGTTCCCAAGGAAGCCCCTCAGCCCAGTGGTTTCATTTTGTTTTCATGATGAGAAATTATTTTAATGCTGCAGTCACCTTCCTGCTCACTACTGCTCCATCTAAGAGGAACATGTCTGCTGTTTCACCCTGTATAGCAGGTGCAAAGGGTAATGAGAGCTGTGACTGAATCCACACACTAACAAATGACAGGCGATCTTAAAATATTGGGATAATCTATCCTTCAGCATTACAGAAGCTTACTGGAGGTAGAGGCAGGTCATTGTTCAAGCATCTGGCAGTACATTAATCACGAGAAATTCATTAGGCCATAATGTGGGTCTAATGTGAAATTCCTGTGATCCATGTTTGCTTATGGGCTTTGTTGGTTAATTACCAAATGGAACACCAGAGCCCCTAAAATGTGATTATGAAATGATTTTTTTTTTAAACCCTTTCGTGGAGTGTAATTTTCTATTAATAAATCTCAAGAATTTAAGATTATGTGCTTTGGAGATGTGTCACAATGCAATGTAATTACAGACCTTTTTCAAGAGGAACCATTTAACTATCTGTGGTCTAAAGAGCCTGCATAACTGTTCTCTGTGTCTGTGTCTCTTGTCTTAGTTTTCTGTGTTCCTGGGAATTATTTTCTTCCTGGAGCTCACTGCTGGGGTGCTGGCGTTTGTATTCAAAGACTGGATCAAAGACCAGCTGTATTTTTTTATAAACAACAACATCAGAGCTTACAGGGACGACATTGATTTGCAGAACCTCATAGACTTCACCCAGGAATATGTAAGTGTAAATTTGGTTTATTTGTACGTTGAGAACCTTCTTGGAAGGATGACCCCAATGAACACTCGTCTTGGTTTCTGTATGACCGGCTGGAACCTACCTCTGACTCTTCTGCATTATGTTTGTTTGTTCACTTGTTTTCTGATGAGCTGTATGACTTATGGGCTTTGTACCTTAAGCAGGAATATCCTAGTTTCATTATTTTAATTTGTATTAAATTAGAGGAGCAAAGAAGAAAATTCTTGGGCAAAAAGGTTATAATCACATTTGCTCTTTCCTATCAACATTTGAAGAACATTGTTAACAGGGAAAACCAGGTTTAAAATTGTATTTGCTAATTAAATACAGATGCTTTCCTGCCCCACCCCACCCCCATTTTGGTAACCCTCCATGCTTCACAGCTCAGAATAATATACTTATCAATAGGAGCTCTGTGGATAAACATTCTAACATATGCCTATCCAAATATTATATAGCTCATGCAGTTAAAGCCAAAAATTCAGAAATGTGTAAGCCCTTAAAAAAATCATGGAACCAAACCAGTTGCTGCTGAGTCAGTTTCAACTACTGGTGAGTTGTTTCTAATACGTAAAGAATCTGTGCAGTAGTGCCGCCTTCGCCCCCCACCTCCCACCCCTGCCCCGAGCTACTATGTGATGGCTTCTGATCGTTTGTCATCGCTCAGGGGCAAGAACAAAATAGCAGATGCCCGTTTTCACTCCAAATGCAAAATGGCATAAATAGGGGTCAAAAGACACAGATTCTAGTGCCAAATCTGATTAACTAAGTAACCCTGGGCACGTCCCTCTTTCCCCAATAATAAAATGGCAATAATGATAGCTACGGTCTATCTCATAGGATGCAAACAGTTAATAAGCTTAGCTGCTAGCCAAAAGATTGGAGGTTGGAGTCCACCCAGAGGCCCCTGGGAAAGAAGACCTGGTGATCTACTTCCAGAAAAATCAGCCAGTGGAAACCCTATGCAGCACAGTTCTACTGTGATAGACACAGGGTCCTCATGAGTCGGAATTGACTCAGTGGCAGCTGATTGTTGGTTTTAACTCACAGGGACATTATGAGACTCTAGTAAGACATATATAGTTTTATATTAGGCTTAAGATATTATTGTCCTACAAACTGGCCGGGTTTTATTTGCATATACTGAAAAACTGGATAAACTGAGCAGACAGGCATGGCTGTGTCAGTGATACTACTGTATACACGCAGGCTGGATGGCAAGCAGAAGCCCAGCAGAACAGTGGCCCTCTGCCTGGTTGGACAGTTTTACAGAGCAAGCTGGGGTTTCCTTTAATCAAGGAAGGAAGTGGCTGTATCTACTTGCCATGAATGAGGCCATCCTCCCTCGTTAGACACTCAGAACCAAGCTGTGCTATGCAGTTGGTTTTGTTCGGTGTCAGCAACAATTGCCCGGGAGTAAGTTGTACCTCAGGTGTGAAATTAAGTCCTATTTCATCTCCTCAGCGGCCCTCACTGTGTTGTTAGGTCATAATGGATGCAAGCTCACACCTTCCCAAGCAGTGTTCCTGCCCAGGTTGCATGACAAATCTGATGGAGCTCTGTAGGCAAACCTTGTGCTGCGCAATCCCAGCCCTCAGGAGGACCAGACGGTTTGACGAACATGGCTGTACACATTCTCTTGAAATGCTGTCGGCTTTATATAGAAATGTTACAGTTACTGCATATGATTTTATTTTTTTGTTGTGGAGTTTAGTGTTTTGAAGTAGCTGTTGGCCCTGAAAGCCTTTAAGTGGTCAAAGCCTGATGTTTGTTTAACTCAGAGACGTAGAGATAATCTAGCCAGGGGAGGGAGGAAGGGGTTTATGGAGCAGTTCTTCAGATAGACCCCATTCAAGACCCTCAGTTGACAGCTTACTTTATTATACAGGCAGTCCCCGGATTACAAAGGAGTTCCGTTCCTAAGTCTGTCTTTAAGTCAATTTTGTATGGTAAATTGGAACAGTTAGGTATGGTTTGTATCTAATGTCAGTCAGATGTTTGTCTTAGTATATAGTACATAATGTACCTTTCTGTGCATTAAAAACATTAAAGAAACACTTCCAGATACATTAAAACATCTTTAACATAATAAAATAACGATAATAATGTTTTGATGTACGTCACAAAGTAGCAACCATTTGTTATTACGAACCATTGTATGTACCTCAAATTTTTAATGTAATAGGCTTTATGGGAGTTGGTTCGTCACTATGTAACTGTGGGTTGTACTTAAGTCAGGTGTTTGTAACCTGGGTACTGCCTTATTTTAATCAGATGGTGTAGTCTTTTAAAGGAAAATGTGAATACATGCTCTTGTTTTTAAAATTTTATTTTAAAATTTAAAGAGTAGAAATAGATACATTATGAGAAGTAAGTCTAAATCTTTTGCGGTAATGGGTATGTTCACTATCTTGATTGTGGTGATGGTTTCACAGTGTGTACATATGTTAAAACATCAAATTGTGCACTTTAAACGTGCAGTTTATTGTATGTCAATTATACATCAATAAAACTGATTTTTTTAAAAAAAAAACATTAAAATGCAGAGATCAGAATTAAGCCCCTAGATATCCCACATACAACCCCAGTTGCCTCCATCAGACACTACCACTGTAGTTAGTGTCTTGTTTATCTTTCTACAGTTTTCCTCTGCGTACCCACACCAGACAGCTCTTGTTCTAACCACACCCTGCTGTGCAGCTCCTGCTCTGCCCTTCCTATGCTAACACTGTAGGTAGCAGGGTTTGTACCTTTCTCATCAATTGTCTAAATCACGTGCCAACATACCCTTACAGACCTTCAGCTTTAATTACTTTGAAGCTTTTACAGAGGCCCTTTAGGTTCACTTCGGCTTAAAAATAAATTGAGACAGAAGAGACAGAGCTGGCAGAAGCTGGGTGTTGTACTGGCGGGTATGAGTGTAGGCGCCTGATTGCCTCCAAGTCGAGATGTTCTAATTCTGTCCTGTTTGCTCTAGTGGCAGTGCTGTGGGGCTTTTGGAGCTGATGATTGGAACCTAAATATTTACTTCAATTGCACAGATTCCAATGCAAGTCGAGAGCGATGCGGCGTGCCATTCTCCTGCTGTACTAAAGATCCCGCGGTAAGCGAATGCCAGCAAACTGTTGGCCTGCTCTGGGCATCACACCAAGAGTGGGATTCGGCAGTCGGTGTTTTCTTGAAACCTCTTTTTACCCGCTTATGCCTAATTGTAGCTCCTGTAGGGGGTGTAGTGCTTAGATCTTCCCAGTAGGTGTTATCTTCACTAACATTAATTTAGCAGTAGGTGCTGGTTCCTGTTCTAAGCCTCGATGTGCTCTGGCTCATTTAAGCTCAGAACATTCCTACTGGTAGATACCACCCTTATCCTCCTTTTACAGGTGAAGACACCAAGGCACACAGGGTTTAAGTAACTTTCTCAAGCTCACGCTGCTAGCAAGCGATGGAGTTGAGCTTCAAACCAGACAGTTTGCCTATGTTACCTATGTTACTCCTTCTTTACAAGAAGGATGGGCTCATATGTGAGTTCTCTTCATTGGTTTGGGTTGGTAACCCTTTTCTTCCTGGCTTAGTTCTGGGGAAAATATGAGGAGTAGAAGAGTTTGAGACAAAATAGGGCTCAGATGTAGGAAGACCACAGCCACCCAGACTCTTAGGAGTTGTAATGACTATAGTAATGAAAGTTTGTATTTTACTTTTTAAAAGGAAAAAATATAAAACCTATCCATAAGCCACTCCCTTTTACTATGGGTTTGATTGCATTTGGGTCAAATCATGTGCCTAGTATACAGAATGTCATGCAACTCCCGTGTTATAAGTTAAACACCAGAATTGAGTGTTAGAACGACACGTGTGAGAAGTTGCTTCTGCACTTGGCCCTGCACACTCTTACACTGTAGCCCTTCAGGGACTTTGCAGCCTCTCTTTGACATTTTGGTCCCCAGGTATCCTCCTGAAGACACCCTCACCCCCAATTAGCAGTGCCAGGTGGATGCTGATGAGTTTAGCTGTGGTGTTCCTCCTGCAAGATAGAGGGCATGGAGCTCTTCTGAAGGGGCAGTAGTCTTAGGGTGGAAAAGCAGAACTTCCCTGCAGGTCTCCTCGGCCAGCTGCTCATTGAAGGGTTGGCCTGAGCTGTTTCTCTTGGTCTGAAGGAGACTAAGAATCACTAAGAAGGGTGCTACCCTGGTGCTGAGACCTGGCCAGATCTCAAGTGGAACCAGCCTTTCTCACCGGCTACTTTCTCGCTCTCCTTGGGTCAGTCTGAGGAGGGTGGAAGGCAGGAGACTGCCCAGCAGGAAGCCCACCGTGCCCACTCTAGGCAGCCTTGCCACTGACCAGCCAACACTGAATTGTCCTCCTCTGTGTCCAGTTCCTGCCCTATGTTAACATTCCATCAGAAGAATTCTGAAGATCCTCAGAAGGCAGTATGCCTCCCCTTTCAACTACAGAGCCTCTAGCTAGAGACAGCTCATGCCTTAAGCTCTAAAGTAATAAAATCTACCCCATACCCACAGAGGAGTGAAATAAACCCAAAAAAGTGGAACTCACATTTCTGATCAGACCCTGTGAGATATCAAGCTGTCCATGTGATATGTGGTGAGGACATGGTTTTGTTTTTTAACTATTAGAGTAATGCATGCTCATTGAAAAACAATACATCCACAATATAGAAGTATATAGATTAGAAAGTGGAAGTCCCCTAAAAGGCCATAAATGAAGACAGCCATTACGCCCTTTAACTGTGATTTTTGTCTATGTCTCCAGTTCCCGGGAAGTTCTCGAGGTTATTAACTTTGTATATTTAGGCTCCTGCATAATGGACTTGCTACACTTTCTGATATTCCTTGAGCTTCAGTCTTCCTCATTTGTAAAATGGAGTTTAAATTTTTAATACCTGTTTGAAATGATTGTTATAGTAATTACTTGGGATAATGTAGGCGAAGGGCTTGACACAGTGCCTGTGACACATCCATGCTCAAATACGCATTTCACCACTGACCCTTACTAAGGTCTTCTGCTCACTCCTAGGTGGGCTTTCTCTCTTACAAAAGTGAATTTCACTTTTTTGTTTTCTTTCTCCACCAGGAAGATGTCATCAACACTCAGTGTGGCTATGATGCCAGGCAGAAACCAGTAAGTGGAATCTCATTATTTTGTCACTTAGCACAAGGGGCGTTTAGAAGAGCTCTTGAATATGCAGGGTGCTGTGGCAGTATCTGTGACACTGTGCTCTCCTCTTCCCTTGTAAAGGAAGTGGATCAGCAGATTGTAATCTACACGAAAGGCTGTGTGCCCCAGTTTGAGAAGTGGTTGCAAGACAATTTAACCATCGTGGCTGGCATTTTCATAGGCATTGCATTGCTGCAGGTAAGACAAGGATTAAAAGAAACACCCGTTGCTGTCGAGCTGATTCCAACTCATGGTGATACCATGTGTTACACCGTAAAACTGCTCCATAGGGTTTTTTTAAATTAAAAAAAAAAGAAAATGTTGCTGTTAAGTCTATTCCAACTCATGGCACCCCATGTGTCACAGCATAGAACTGCTCCATTGGGTTTTATTGGCTGTAGTCTTTATGGAAGCAGATTGCCAGGCCTTTCTTTCGTGGTGCCATTGAGTGAGTTTGAACTGCCAGCCTTTAAGTTAGTAGTCAAACACAAACCGCTTGTGCCACCCAGAAACCTTAAGACAAGGATGTTACAGGGAAATGATGCCCTGAGAGAGCCCTCACCAGGACAGGAACCTTAATTAATCACCTGAATTTCAAAGTTTTTAAAATCCACTGAAGGGCTGGGGAATAGACCTAAAACTATTTTGTTTGCATTTTGTTATAGCTCTGATTTTAGATGCTACTGTACTGAAATACCTTAGGAAACCTTTTTTTCCCTTTGAAGATTGATTGGGTCAGTAGTTGCCTGCTGGCATTCCTGCGTGTCCAGGGGCTCGATAATGCTGCATTGTGACAGCTGGGGCAGATGTGAATGGTCAGAGTAGGGCTCAGTGGCAAGGTTAAGTGAGGCTTCAGGATTTTCACAGAGATGCTGTGCCTTTTTCTCTCTGGACCACCTTGCCAAAGTGCTAGTGAGGGAAAGGAGCACCCACTTTCCATCCTGGGCAGTCTCAAGAACTCGACTTTTCATGCTTTGCAGATGTGATACTTACCGTGGCGGGTTCAAAATGGGGCACAGTGGTTGGAAGAAATTAAAGAAGACCTAAATGGAAAGACATCTTGCATTCATGAGTTGGAAGACTTAATATTGTTAAGATGATAATACTCCTCAGACTGATCTACAGATTCAATGCAATCTCTATCAAAATTTCAACTGCCTTTTTTGTGTGTGTGAAAAGGAGCCCTAGTGTGGTGCAGTGGTTAAGCGCTCAGCTGCTAACCAAAAGATCGCTGTTTCGAACCCTCCAGCCACTCCATGGGAAAAAGATGTGGCAGCCTGCTCTCGTAAAGATTACAGCCTTGGAAACCCTATGGGGCAGTTCTAATGTCCTATAGGGTTGCTAGGAGTCGGAATCAACTCGATGGCAATGGGTTTGGGTTTTTTTTTTTCCTGTAAAACAAGACAGGGTGATCCCAAAGTTCATATGGAAATGCAAAGTACCCCAAATAGCCAAAACAAACTTGAAAAAGAACAAATTTGGAAGACTCACATGTCCAATTCAAAACTTATTAAAAGCTACAGTATCAAGATAGTTTGGTATTAGCATAAGGTTAGACATATAGATCAATGGAATGGAATTAAGAGTCCAGAAATAAACCTATATATCTATAGTGAAATTATTTTTGACAAGGGTGTCGTGATCATTCAGTGGGGGAAAGAATAGTATTTTCAACAAATGGTGCTGGAACAACTGGATATACATATGCAAAAAAATGAATTTGGACCCCTACTTTATACTATATACAAAAATTAACCATTTCACACCTATTAAGATGGCTATTATTAAAAAAATAACACTAAAATAAGTATTGGCAAGGACATGGAGAAATTGAAACCCTTATCCATTCCTGAGGAATGTAAAATGGTATAGCTACTATGGAAAATAATTTGGCAGTTTCTCAAAAAGTTAAATATATAACTACCATATGACCCAGCAATTCTCCTCATGGGTATATACCCCTAAAGAATTGAAAGCAAGGACTCAAACAGATACACCAGTGCTTATTGCAGCATTATTAACAATAGCAAAAGGTAGAAACAAGCCAAATGTCCATCAGCAGATGAATGGATAAACAAAATGTGGTATATGCATGCAATGGAGTATTACTCAGCATAATGAGAAATGAAGTCCTTGTATATGCTACAGCATACAAAGATGAACCTTAAAAACATTATGCTAAGTGAAATAAGTCAGACACACAAAAAAAATACTATATGATCCCACTTAATATGACATATCTAGAATAGGCAAATGTATAGAGATAACAGTTTATTAGTGGTTACCAAGGGTGAGTGGGAAGGGGAAATAGGGAGATACTGCTTAAAAGGTACTGAATTTCTGTTTGGGGTGATGAAAAATTTTGGAAACAAATACTGTATTTTATGCAAATAACATGTGCCTTCTATGTTTGCCAACTGCTCCTTCCCCCGGCAAGGTATTTTCCTAAGCCTGCTATGCTAATTTTTTTTTTTTTTTTTTCAGCAACATGTAAAAAAAAAGATTGGCATAGCAGCGCTTAGGAAAATACCTTGGGGGGGAGGGAGTAGTTAGCAAACAAAAGTAGAAGGCATGCGTTATTTGCGTAAAAGTTACAGTAGTGGTGATGGTTGCACAACATTGTGAATATAATTAATGCCACTGAATTTTACACTTAAAAATGATTAAAATGGCAAATTTTATTTTATATATATTTTACCACAATAAATAAATTAAAATGATCAAAAACCTAAATGTAAGAGCTAAAGCTGTAAAATTCTTAGAGGAAAACACACATGTAAATTTTTGTGACCTTGAATTAGGCAATAGTTTCTGAGATATGACACCAAAAGCACAAGCAACCATGGAAAAATAGGTAAATAGGACTTCACCTAAATTAAAAACTCTGTTCAAAACTATACCATCAAGAAAGTGAAAAGACAACCCAAAGAATGGGAGAAAATATTTGCAAATTATTTTTCTGATAAAGATCTAGTATCCAGAATATATAAAGAACTTCTACAAGTCAACAATAAAGAGACAACTCAATTTAAAAACGGGCAAAGGATTTGAATAGACATTTCACCAAAGAAGATAAACAAATGGCCAAAAAGCACATGAAAAGATGCTCAACATTATTAGTCATTAGGGAAATTCACTTCAAAACTATAACGAGATACCACTTGGCACCCACTAGGATGGCTATAATAATATTTAAAAAAACGTGTTGATGAGGATGTGGACAAATTGGAACCCTCATACATTGCTGGTTAGAATATAAAATGGTACAGCTGCTGTGGAAAACAGTTTGGCAGTTCCTCAAAAAGTTAAGCATGGAGTTACCATAAAACCCAGCAGTTCTACTCCTAGGTATACACCCAAAAGAATTGAAAACATATGTTCACACAAAAACTTGTAAATGAATGTGCATAGCAGCATTGTTTATAATAGCTAAAAAGTAAAAACAACCCAAATTGTCCATCAACTGATGAATGGGTAAACAAGATGTACAAGATATGGTACAACCAATGTGATGGAGTATTATTCAGCCATAAAAAGGAACAAAGGACTGATACATACTACATACAACATGGATGAACTTTGAAAACATACTAAGTGAAAGAAGACAGACACAAAAGGCTACATATTGTGTAATTCCACTTACATGAAATGTCCAGAATAGGCAAGTCTAAAGAGACAGAAAGTAGATTAGTGGTTGCCAGGGGCTTCGTGGAAGGGGGAATGGGAGTGATGGGGTTTTTTTTTGGGGTTGATAAAGATATTCTGGAATTAGTGGTGAACATTGCACTTCCTTGTGAATATACTAAATATATTGAATTACATACTTTAAATGAGTGAATTATATGGTATATGAATTATATCTCATTAAAAAAAAATCAAAGATTAAAAAAAAAAAAAAAATGGGGCCCAGTGGCCAAGGAAAAGCCTAAAGAGGTTAGAGTTTCATTGTTTGACTCTCTTTTCCTTCTTTTCTCAGATTTTTGGGATATGCTTGGCCCAGAATTTGGTTAGTGATATTGAAGCTGTCAGGGCTAGCTGGTAGAGCACCTGCAACAGCTGTGCAAGACACTGGACAGACCCAAGCCTTCCTGACCCTTTCATGTGCTGAACTGATGTCCAAGCTGCGTGGACCCCAATCCCAGAGGCATCCTTCAACCCCACCTGATGGAGCTATCAAGACCTTGTTTCTTGGGGGAGAGTAAAACTGGGAAATGCTGCTCACTGACAGAATTTTTTAAAAAAATAACCAGTATGAAAGTTCTTGCGCTGTGTATCTCTACTGTAGCCATGGATTTGTGGCTGGTTGGACACTTACCAAAAGCAAACAAAAAAATGGGGGTGGGGACCCAAATGTACTTAAATAGAAATGGAATACCCTTGAATTTGTGAAAAATACCATTTTGTTCTCCACTTCAGTAACTGGAGGGCTGTCAGAGGTAGTTTGGTTCTTCGTCACCATCTGAAGGACTGCCTTTTGTTCCAGGGCCTAAAGAGGTGCATCTTTTCTAAAACTCAGCCCCTCACCGGGGAGGGCAGTGTTTTTGAGCATCCCTCCACTGTACATTTCGAGAAACGGTTACAGTGATCATCCCAGGAAGAAACCAGCTTGTCTTTGGGTTCAGGTTTTGTGGTGATCGCACTCAGCAAGTAACTGTGAGGGCACACGGTCTATTCTGGAGTGTCACCTTCTAAGAGGAGTTGTGGATACCATGTGCGTGGAGCCAGGGCGCTGGAAGACTTCATAATGTTGTATTTTGGCAGGATAGACCTTTTTCTAAGTTGGCCTGAGCTTTATTTATCAATGAAATCCAAGGAGAAAAGTATGAGGAGGTTAATGAAGAGGTATTAGCTAAGTGCCCCCCTCCCTCCAATCACTACCACCAAATCAGTTGTTGGATTCTTTGGAAACTCTGGAATACTCTGTATTGGGGTTCTTTTTTCCATCTCCCAAAGGCAAAAGCTATGATAGTTTCTCATAAAGTTTCTTTTAAAATGTTTTTTTACTCAGTTGAAATATTAATTTTTCTTTTGTACCATCCGACCTGCATGCCCTGTGAATCTGAATCTGCCAAGTCCCTTTCCTGCCACCCTTTCTACCAACATTTACATGTGTTATTTGGTCCGCATTTCTTTCAGAGAGTCATGGCCTTGGGAGGCCATGGCGAGTCCTCCTCAGCCTCGCTGGGAAGCGACCAGCTGTGATGTCACAGATGCATCCGTGGACTCCACTCTTGTTACAGTGTCCTCTTCCTGGCCTTTTCTGCACCCTCCCTCTCTTGCTCTTTGAGTGGAAATAAACCCACTTCCAAAACAGTGTTGCTATGATCAAAAAGCTTCCAGTGGTTTTTTGTTTTTTCTTACTGTTTTAGTTTGCTTTTATTAAAAAAAAAAAAAAAAGTAGTGGATGGTCAGAGCTCTGTCTGTTTTCTTACTGCAGACTAAACATCAGAGTGGTAAAAAAAACCCATTGCTGTCGAGTCAACTCTGACCCATAGCGACCCTGTAGGACAGAGTAGAGCTGCCCCAATAGGGTTTCCAAGGCTGTAATCTTTATGGAAGCAGACTGTCACACCTTTCTCCCTCCGAGCAGCTGGTGGGTTCAAACTGTCCACCTTTTGGTTGGCAGCTGAGTGCTTAACCACTGCGTCACCAGGGCTCCTTTTATCGGAGTGGTAACAAAGCACAAATACTTTGGAGTAGAGTGCATTAAACGGGGGCAAGCGTTCTGTGACAACAAGGTGGGAAACCACCTCCTTGGCACTGGTGCTGCCACCCCTGCCCCGCTCCATCTGGGACGGACGAGTTTTACCCCCAGGTTTTAATGCAACTGGTGTCTGTGAATATGTCTACCAGAATATTGCTCTCCTGGGGAGCAGATATTAGTCTGTGGAATGCTGGGGAAACCACAGGCATGTTTTACAGCAATGACACATTGGCCAACACATAAATTGGGCAGCTGGTTAGCATACTTGGTGGAAATTTAGCAAGGTTTTATATTTCAGCACCATGTTGCATCGCTGTGGCTGATGAGCGGTCAGTCCGCTCAGAGAAAGGACAAGAATTCTTTTAAAATCCAGTCTTCACAGTTTGGGCGTGTGTATGACTATGCACGTGTGTGTTTGTGTTTCTGTATAGTTAGAGAAGTTCATTCCATATTCTGGCTGTCAGATGGTCTTATTTCATCTCTGCCCCCACCACAGTTGTCATTTTGTAATGTCTTTCCAACATGGAGAAGTCTAGAGCTCTCCATTTGGCACTCTTGTCTTCTTTGTTCCCTCATTCTCCAGCAAACTCCATCTGACCTCTTGACTCAAAATCAGACAAGACCCCCTACCCTTTGGCATATCCAGTGAAAGGCCAAACAGCAAATCCAAGTGAGTTTTAAATTTTAATTAATCATTCTTTATTTTTTACACTTGAAAGTGATCGTAATAAAGGCTGTCATTAATAAACTTGGTTCTACCTTACGTGGAGTTATGTCTTTCTTCACTTCTCTCTTGACAGTGTGAAATTCCCTAATTCCAGTGGTTCTCAAACTTTAGCGTACATCAGATTTACCTGGAGGACCTGTTAAAACAGATTGCTGGGCCTCATCCCCAGAATTTCTGATTTGCATTTCTGACAATTCCCCAGGTAATGCTATTGCTGCGTGTCCAGGGACCACGCCTTGAAAACCCCTGCTCTACTCCAGTTTTCTAAGAGGGGAAGGATAAAGGTAAAATTTGGGGCCTGGAGAGGGAAATTTGCACTGCTGGACTCGAGTAAGGAGACACAGGGGTGCTGAGCTGGGTGTGTAGGAATCTCCAAGGTCATTGTCTGCTGGCCATACCTACCTGGAGACCATTTAAAATACTGATCCCAAGGCTTTCCTTCTAGCGGTTTTGGTGTGGGGTACCCAGCATCTGTATTTTTAGAAGCTCCCATTAGTATTTAATGCACATTCAGACTTAGGACTCATCGACCTAGATAAATGTTGATCATATTCATACCCTTTTTACAATAAAATAATTTCTAGCAGCCCCTTCTAACAGGAATCTTAAAAACTCATTTGAGAAATACCAACCTAAATGTCTTCTCATTGTGAACTATCAGTGCTGAAGAAAACTTCTTTCTTTTAAATTGGTTAAATACGGTCTTCAAATGAAAATGCAAGATTTTATTGTTCCGATAATATGCTCAGACCCTGACACTATGTCCTAAGACTTTGAGAAACATTTTGTCTCAGTTCCCTGGGTATTTGAAACAAAAACGTTATTTTGACTTATAAGGAAATTTCTTAGTGGTAACTGTAAATAACCAATCCCCTTTTCTTGAGTTTTCTTAGCTGTACTGAAGAGATTAGTTAATGGGTCCACTTGTCTCATTGCAAACTCTAGGCCAACAAAGGAGAAAAAATACTCAGAAATAAAAGGATGCTATGTCTGTAAAATTCAAAACTTGCAAGTTTTTTCCTTCAGTGTTTAAGAAGATATATCTCTATTGTTTGACCTGTTTCCACAAACACTATTGCTTCCATAATTTAAAAATTAGTTTGAAACAGTGGCTGCAACAATGGGCTCAAACATAGCAACGATTGTGAGGATGGTGTAGGAGCAGGCAGCATTTCATTCTGTTATACATAAGGTCTGCTATGAGTTGCAGCCTGTCATGGTTTGAATTATGTCCCCCAAAAAGTGTGTGTATCAGTTTGGCTGGGCCCTGATTCCTGGTACTGGGTGATTTTCCTGTATGTTGTAAACCTGCCTTTATGATGTTAATGAGGGAGGATGTGTGGCAGTTGTGTTAGTAAGGCAGGACCTGATCTACAAGACTGGATTGTGTCCTGAGGCAATGTCTTGGATATAGAAGACAGAAGTGAGCAGTGAGACAGGGGGACCTCATACCATCAAGAAAGCAGTGCTGGGAGCAGAGCACGCCCTTTGGACTGGGGTCCCTGCGCAGAGAAGCTCCTAGTCCAGGGGAACACCGAAGAGAAGAAGGCCTACAGAAAAAGCCTTCCCCTGGAGCTGACACCCTGAATTTGGACTTTTAGCCTACTTCGACTGTGAGGAAATAAATTTTTCTTCATTAAAACCATCCACTTGTGGTATTTCTGTTACGGCAGCACTAGATGACTAAGACAGAGCCGAATAGACAGCACCTAAAACAATAGAAATATCTAATACAGTTTTTTAAAAATGAACTCAGGAGTTAAAAAGTAGAATTTTGTATCATGCAGTACTTGAAAAAAAAAATGCATTGACTTTGTTTTCTTCCTCCTCTTTCTTCTACCAGGGAATAAACCTGCTTTTTTCATGCCCCAGGTCCTTCCTTTCCCCAAGAGGATTCCTGAAAGTGTTTCTTGGCTTTTTCTTATTATGCAAAATGTTTTATCATTCATGCCCCTGTTCTGTGTGGGCCGGAAAGGAATAATTTTGCAGTTTTATGTAGCTCCTCTCAGCCTGCTTCCGGCTCGCTTGGATAGGAGCCCTGAGAAGCCAGTGGACGGAACAATGAGGAGACAGAGCACAGGGACCTGGCAGGCCCTCCCAGTGCTCTCTGTAATTTATTCCACGAAGCCCTCCTTCTCTAGGGAAATCCTGTTTAGACCTCCAAGGAAGAACTGGAATCCTCTTCGTAAACTCTGGCCAATGAAGTTTCAGGGACAGCACTCACTGTCCATTGAGGTCATGGGGCTGTTTCTAGGTGCTTCCCTTCTCTGCTACTGAGAAGCCTAGTCTCTGACTGAACCAGAAAGGAAATGCAGTGTTGTCTGGAAGTGTACTAATGTTGGCCTATCATCATAACACTGAAATCAAAAATCGATCGAAAAATCTACACACAATAACACTCAAGACACTGAGGTGTGTTTGGGTGCACGGGTGGGGAGCAAGGAAGAGAAGCTGAACTCTGGACAGGACAAAGACCAAAGCCATCTTTAGACTGACCTGAGTGCTTTTGTTTTTTGGAGGAGTTTGCTACAAAGGCAGAGTTTATAAAAATGACAGTTTTCACTTATGGTATTTAATATAGCTTCTTGTGGAGTAGGAGTCCTGGGTGACTCAACTGGTTAAGCGCTCAACTGCTAACTGAAAGGTGGGTAGTTTGAACACACCCAAAGGCGCCTCAGAAGACAAACCGGGCAATGTGCTTCCAAAAGGTTACAGCCCTGAAAACCCACGGAGCAGTTC